CGTATACAATCTGATTAACATGGAGGTAAGTACTGAGGAAAGTTCAGATGGAGAAACGGGGCCAGTTAGAAGGTATGCATTAATGAAAAGACATAGGAGCAAATTATAATACCGAATACTGGAGGTATAGAGTGTGAAAAAGAAAAGACATCGATGTCAAATTTTGAATTTGCTTACTTACTAACTTACTTGCTTATGGAGCTGAGCCCTTCTTGAGGAATAGTTTCATCCATGTACGGACTTAGCCTTGAGAGAAGAATATTGGATAAAATTTTGTATGATGTTGATAGCAGTGATGACCCACGATAATTACTACTGTCAGTTTTATCACCCTTCTTGTGCACTGGTACAATAATAGACTCCATCCATTGATCACGCAGTTTTTCCTTATGCCAAAGAGGAGTAATTAGCTTATGGATCTTAGAACGTAATATTTCCCCAGAAAACTCTTGGAGTGTCGGCCAGGTCTTAGTAAGCATTTTACTGAAGAGAATGATTATAACGGTGATTGTTCTTATTCTTCTTATTATTATTACAACTTGAGAGCTACACAGTTACAAGAGTGCCGAATACTGATTTCTTTCTAGAGACGTTATATATATTTTTTAATAACGCCATGAAGGAAGAGTTGAATATTCTATGATGTGACGACATGCTTGGCATTTGCTTAGATATATTCTGCCCTGAAGAAGAAATCAGCGCGTTCCTTACTGTCGTCGCGATATTTTACCAGGTTGTTTGTCGCCACCTTTGAGAAGCTGTCATATCCTCCAGGATCTCAAGTCCCCAACAGTGATAACGGTCTCGAATCTACGGTGACATGGCTGTCACACTGTTCGTGGACAAGAAAGTGATCTGTTTACACGCTCTGAAGAGCCCTGGTCCGGATTGTTTGTGAGCAAGGTCCAGATATATTCTCGGTATCTGAAAGAAAGGAGATACGCCTGACATGCCTCGATGTCTCGCAATTCGTGTTCTCTACGTAGCGATTATTAGGGGGCACGCCGTAGCGTAGTTGGTTGAAGCAATTATGCTATAACCCGGAAAGTCTTGGGTTCCATTCCCGATGAGCTCGTTAAATTTTTAGTTGACCTAATTCTTCCAGCTGCACTATGGCCTTGGGGTCGACTCAGCCTCTTTACAGAAATGAGTACTAGGAATCTTTCTGGTGGTAAAGGGCGGCCGGTATGCAAGGCTGACAACCTTACCGCCGTCTGTGAGCCAATTGTCTAGAAAAAGTGGAAGCCTCGACATCTCACAACCCTATGGACCTCCACGGCCTACTTTTTGTCTTTTTACCCAATGACTATTGCTAGGGCAATTCTGTCAGTAACGGTAAACTACATAGGGTATTTGCTGTATGAAATACACGCATTAAAGAGCTTGAACTGATGAATAAGCGCCTAGAAGTAAAAGTAAAATTGTCCCTGTTCATCAATAAACACAGTATTATGAAGAGGCAAGGGGGGGGGTGGAGGAGGTACAGCGTAAAGCATTCCTGACCTGGGAAGTGGATGAATACGAGACGTTCACGTCCGCGCAACTTAGCCCCCCGGATGAACAAGACTGGAGATTAAGTGTCAGGAAAATGCCATGTTAAGATTTTTTTTCCTTGGCACTACAGCCCCAGTGGGTCTAGGCCTACCTCCATGAACTTCTCCGATGTTAAGAGCTATGGATTTCAGTGAACCAGGATAATGATGACAGCCCGACGTGGGGACCGTCACGAAATTTACAGGTTCTGTAAGAACAGGGAAACTTCACGAGAAGCACTACAAGCAGTGAAAGAAGCCTCTGCAAAATTTGAGACTTTCATTGTGGTGAAAACTTACGTCTCTCGGTTCCATGATTTAGGAGAGCTCTATATGAAATGAAGGCTCTAGTTATGTGAATAATCTGTTCAGACGGCAGATTGGGGGGGGGGTCGTCACTGGCAGTGTACTCTTTACATTAAATTGATCACGTGAAATGCCACCTAGACTATCTGCTTCGGCTGTATATCATATTGCCTGTGGTATCAACCTATAAAAGGAAAATTTATATGACTTTACGAATGTAAATATTGTAGCAGAACCTCTCACTTTTGGTTCACCTTTCCCTTCAGGGTCATTTGGTTTAATATCAAAAGGAATTAATTAAAATTGATGGGCGCCAATGAGAGATGTACTCCCTTATATTTAATGAAGGGCAGGTAAACAAATCTGATTGGGCAGCGTAGAGAACCGAATAACATGAAAATCTCAAGGGAATTGCGGCCAAAACTACCAGCATCAGGGTTACCGAGTTTAATTTATTCGCCACTAGGAGACAATATGAAACAGTCATGATCATCAGAGTACAGAAAGCGCAACACAATTCACTGTCCCTTTACATGCTGTTAGCAACCTCATAGTCTCGGATCTTGAGACTAAATTAATTTATCTTTATATAAAACTTATATTTGAATTCTGCATCAAATCGGGCATATCGCTTTGCTTAACGATTTGTGGTCCTCTAAGTTAAATTTGAATCTTTAGTACAGTAATTCAGTAACGAAAAGCAGCACACGGCTGTTCTGGCCGAAAGGGTGACGCCAAGAGATCTGCAGCTTCTAGAGCCAGCATCAGAAAACAGAAACTCGCTAATTTTCAGAAACATGAAACTCTCTCTCGACTGATAGCCTACGTTCAAACTGGACAACTGCGGCATAATTTCCCTGCCACGAATTTGGTTGGCTGGCACTTTCAAAGCCCTTTTCGACACGTGCAACACATTGAGCTTGCGCCGCATCGCCTTCGAACTTCTTGTACAAAAACTTACGGCTATACAGAACTGTCAAGGAGGCGACAAACTGGCGCCTTGACATCTCGAAATTCCACTGAAACATCGTTTTGACAGCGAAAGACAAAGGAATGCGACATTATAAAAGTCAGTATCANGGTGACGTCACCGCGGAGGGGAGTGGCGGGGCGGGAACTCGCCTATTACCGTAAGAACGCGAGCGTTACGTTACCGCCACGTACCGCTAGGGAGGTAGGGGTCAACATGTCACAATATATATATATCATGGCATGTAGACCCTCAGAATAAGCAATTATAAATCAACCGTTGCTAAGTAACGGCTTGACAAAGAAGCATATATCCACGTCAGCCGCACAACAAGAATGAAAAGGTGTTTACTATGAGGTCCATACCGAAATGTTATAAGCATGGCAGTTAGTGAGATTCATTTGAGTTACTTGGTTGGTGAGTGAGTGAGTTAGTGATTTAGAGACATGCTGAAGCTCGGTCGTTGTGAGAAGTTGCTGTGAGAATCTGGTAGCTGAGATAGGTGATATTTTGGAAACCCAGAGGAAAGGGGAACGTCCGCCATCAAAAGCCACTACCGGGCAACGGCTAGTGAAAACGTGGCTGTGGACACTTTTGTGTGTGTATGTGTAACATTACATGGTAGAGTGTAGTCACGCACTGTATCAAAAAGTCCAATAAATCTAATCATCAATCCAAAACCCCGTCTATAGTCACATTCTAAACACGTGACAGAATATATTGGTGTTTGTAAAGACGTTATGAGGCCGGTCACGGTAGCCGAGCGGTCTAAGGCATGTACTGTTTTCGCTCGCTTGGAAACCGGGATCGTGGATTCGAATCCCACTCGGGTCATGGATGTTTAGTTTGTGTGTGTGCGTTTTTCTGTGTTTGTGTAAGGTAGAGGCCTTACGACGAGCTGTGTAAGATCTAGAAAACCGAAGTGAACGGAGAAGCTCATGGAGGTAGGCCTAGGCCCACTGGGGCTGTAGTGCCAAGGGGAATAGAAAAGACGTTATGAACTTGCAGAAGGACAGAAGTCTAAAGAAAAAGGATACATGTTGCAAAAATGTCTCTCTGAAAATAGGCATTCATCAGGAGTCATACAAATATTCGCACCCAGAAATTACCGATGCTCAGTCAGGCAAGACCACCATACAACATGTACGGACATGGCGCGAGACAGGAACAGATTAAGTTAATATAATTTCGGTAACGATATACAGATTAATAACTGGTTACGTGTAGAATTTGATTATTACAACGTCCTTATGTTTACAGATGCCAAACACGATTCGGATAATTCTCCTTTCAGAAGGCACGCCCTTGCATAACCCGCCCTACAGAATTTACATTCACATTTCACTTGCTTATACCCTTCTGTCCCGGATCGTAGTAACCATTTTATATACAAACACTTTTTAAATATTTGATTTGTTTCATTTTGGTCCGACACAAAACAAAACAACTCCGTCCAGTGTGACTGTTGAAGTTTTTACTACTTCAGTTCTTAACACCCTTACATGTTTCGGTCCCTATAGACCCTCATCAGAGGGTCATCGATACTCTTTGGAAACCATGAACCTATTTGGTTCATAAGTTTTAACTTAAATAACAAAAGTTTTAAAAGAACTTTAATATACCAAGACAACCGCTGTAATTTTGAAAAACTTTGGATTTTGTATATATTGTGCATTACAAACATTGTATGTGTATATACGTATTTTAATGTTCAGAACACCCATTATAACAGTAGTTTCCAAAAATTATCGATGTCCCTCTGATGAGGGTCTATAGGGACCGAAACATGTAAGGGTGTTAAGAATTGAAGTAGTAAAACTTCAACAGTCACACTGGACGGAGTTGTTTTATCTTTTATAAATTTTTTAATAATTTTATCACTGGATAACCACAGAACACGGCCATGTATGGATTATTTTTTAAAAAACAATAATTTCTGGAAAGAATTAATCACCTACTTTCCTTTGATACGACACGGACCGCATAGAAAATTAAAAAATTATGAGGACACAGACACCAAGGTGATCTCATAAGCCTCCTGTTATTTCTTCAATATAAGGAAAGTAGGCTAAAATCTACATGTAGTGCGTTGTACATAACTTGCAGTCTTAATGCTGAGGCACCGTTTGGAATAGCAATGAGCTGCGGTACTGCGTTCCAGAATATTTTTACCGAGAACTCTTGTGTTGCAGGCGGGCGAGGTTTCCTCCAGATGGCAGCACTCACCGACCGGAGCCATAGCAACAGGTGCGGATAATTGATGGCGACGCCATAATGCTGCTGCTGCCTTGTGGTAAGTAGCAACCCACTGCTGTTTTGTTTGTTATGCATGCCTCCTGTCTCCTGCAGGTAAAGCTGCAAATTAAAATGGACCACGGAAATGATTTTTCATAATGGAATTTACATGAAAATTTTATTTCAATTTAAAATATATACAAACCAAAAAGATTTTTTTTTTCTCTCGCTCCCATTTTGGAGCATAGGGCTGATTTCTCACTTTCACTGATCATTTTTACAGACGGTAGGACTCCTTGGATGGGTAAACAGCTCATCGCAAGGCCTCTACCTAAACACAGGGCAACACAAACACAGAATAAACACATACACACACCAAACATCCATGCCTTTTGTTGAACTGGAACCCAAGATCTCGGTTTCTGCTTTAGACCGTTCGGCTACCGTGATCGACAAGAAGGACCTACCAAGGCGTATATTTATTTGGGTTATGATACCCCATAGCGCTGCAAAAGTTCACCGACCTTTAGGAAATCTATCCGCAGTTGTTTTCTCCATTAAACCTCTACCCATCACCAAAGGCCCCTATTATTTCCGCATCCACCCACTTTGATAACTCATACTGTTTCTCTTTTCCCTTCATATTTTCCTCCACTCTCTTCAAATCGTCCCTCTTTTGGCCCACACCGTTTACTCATCCCCATAGTGTTGTCCCTTCTTCAGGCAATGCATATGTGAACTAAGTTTTGTATACTTTTGGCTTCTTGCTTGCTTCTTGCTTTTCGCTTGTTTGACTCCCTTTCCGACTCTGATCATGGAGTCAGTACTTCCCTCCGAAACGTCCATGAATGTATTGTCACGTGTAGGGTGGTACGCGCGACGAAAATGACTGATTTTAGTTCGGATGATTGGATTTATTAGCATTTTGGCTACAATCTCTCTTAATCACATGTAAATATAGCGCAATTCCTGCATTCAACAATTTACAGTTTACCGTTGCACGCGCACTAGGGTTCTCTGTTTCCACTAGTCGTCTGCTAGCAACGGATCTCAACACAGAAACTAGCACTTCAAATCACTATGGAAGTCTTGTCTTCTACGAAATTCCCGTGGCTATCTTTCACTGATAATTTAGAAGTCAGAACTCAGAACTGAGTCAAAGTCAGAGTCAAAGTCACATTGCGACTGACGGTCAGTCAGTCAGTAAGTCTTTGTGTCGAATCAGATACTTATTACTTTTGACAGTAACGGAGTTGTTTTGTGTTCGCCCTCTCTGACGAGGTAACGAGTCAGTCTTTTGTATACGCTGCTGGCCCTTGCCAGCGCAATCTTTCTCGGGCCCGAGTCCCTTGGGACTCGCGACATATTTTACTGTCTCAGATTTGAGACCTCCCTTTTCGTCGCCTCCTACGACTCGCAGGATCACGGTGGAGGTATTCGACCTCGCTTCCACACGGGTTTTGGAATCACTCAGAACTGAACTACTGAACTGCTCCTTATATAGGCTCGGCACGGACCATCCACAGAAAACACATCAACTGCACAGCAACGAATGTCATGTATTGCTGTCAGGCGTGTCCAACCATGCCTTGTTTATCAGTGGACGCCCTATTGTTGCGCATTCGTTGCTGTAATATATGTTTACCGGTCTGTAACCTAGCAACGCTTTGAGAAAATCCGTTATAATATATTGGAGTATGCGGCATTACAACCAATAAGATAAAATCATAATAGTCGCCGTGAATCTCAAATCCAGAACAGTAAATCTGCACAGCAGCCTCAGCAGCTGCAGTGTTCTGCACCCAACACAACACGGCGGTGTTGTCAGCGTGAAACACACAACACCTCAGCAATGCACCACAGATTAGATCGCCCCTTCCTATGGCCAACACCAAAAGGCGAGCAGCACATATATACTCAGATTACAAGTAACAACGGCCATACGAATTAATTCAAATAATATGGCATTCCAAACACTACGCAACAGTGAGCAGCACTCCAGAAATTTTGGTCGTAAGGAAAATAGGAAACAGTATCAAAACGCCACTGCATTGAAAGTGAACTCTAGCCTTAGTAACTACAGAGACGCTAAAATTCTAACTAACTAACTAAACTCCATGGAAGTCAGTGCTTCTTAAGACGCTAATAAGGGGGTATAAATAAGTCACAAATGGAAATAAAACAGTTGGAAGGAACGGAATAGATTTTCTATGTGTATCCCTATGTAGTAGCATAGTCCAGCTTAGTGACAGTCTAGGTAGCAGAAAGCGCATGTGCATATTCAGAGACTGGTTTCAGTAGTCAAAATGGCGACCGTGCTTGTGGGATATATTGCCGAAGAGCAGCATTCTGCTATCCATATTATTGTGGGCAGAAGGTCTCAACGCAAAGGATATTCATAAAGAAATGCTTCCTGTTTACGGTGAGAAGTGTTTGTCGCTTAAAGCGGTTCACACTTGGTCCACTAAAAACACTTTGGTGGCAAACGTTTCACTGATGACGTAGAGGTTGAAACGGAGATGTGGAAGTGGCCGGGACAACAGCAGAAGACTGAGGGTTTCGACGCACTTGTAAATCAATGGGACAAGTGCATCAATGTTTGTGGAGAAATAAATGTTCCTTCCAAGTCGAATATTACATGTTTTACGTTTTATATATATATATATATGACTTATTTACTGACTCTCCCTCGTAGTTACCCAGCTGTTCAAAATACTGAGAGTGTTTTGTTGGTTCCAAAGGTTCATTACCTTGTTCACAAGAGCCCGCTACTGGTTCCTATCCTGAACCAGACGAATTCAGCTCATATCCTTCTAGCCTACATTTTAAGATATATTTTAATATTATCCTCTCGTGTACCTCTGGGGCTTTCTAGCGGATCTCTTCGCCTTTAGGTTTCCCACCAAAACGATGTACGAAATTAACCTCTTGTCTCACGCTTGCCACACGCTTTGCTTGTCACATCTTCCTAGATTGAGCAGCATCTTCTGATGAGTTGAAATTATGAAGCTCCTCATAATGAAGTTTTCTCCAGTTTCATATCACATCCTACCTCATAAGTTCAAACATCCTCCTCAGCCCTCCTTTCTCAGACCCCCCCCCCCAAACTACGAGTATTATCTACCTTCTCCACACCAAAACAGAACTACAGGAAAAATGACAGTTCCATGTATCTTAATATTCTAACCTCGTTCCTGACTAAATAAAAAAAAATAACTTCTTTAGCAATTTTAGAGCAATTTCCTGTTCACCTGAATAGCCATGGATCTCTCAGCCTTGCGGCACAGAAAGCACGAATCGCGCCGTGCTACAGCCGTCTCACTGTCCAGCGATAACGTCACAACAGAATGCAAGGCGGCAGACGTCTTGCAACACAGCGACGTAATAAACTTTTCTCAGAATAATTATAATTACACAGGATCCAATTAATGTGCATTTGGAATTTAATCGGGTTATCTGCATTAGTTTCAAGAAAAAGTAATTCTTTGTAATAATTCCCCTCATAAACAAAATTGTCGTTCAAAGGAACAGGAAAATATATTTCTGAGAAGCATATTCTTTCAATTTTCATTTCGTGCATCCTGCTGTGTTACAATATATACAACTTATTTGTTGGGCCGTCACAACACAATAATCAAAGAACTTCAGAGACAACGCCCAGATACAGTTCACTACATGTTTCGGCCACTAGTGGCCATCTTCAGGTGAATACACTTCAGTAAACATACACCACTGAACTGCAGCACGTAAAGTCCGATACAGTGTCGTGAATCATATAAGACAATTATAATAAGAATATAAAATATAGGTTATTCAAAACCAATAAAAGTCTTATATAAAAACAAAATTAAAACCTGATTGATGTTTTATAACATCGAATCAGTCGTTGGTTCCACCTCACATACGTATCCCTCGACAAATAGCAAATTACGATGTTTCATTATAAAATTGTAAAGGAGGCTTAATAATAAATGGAATATTTGGAGCCTCATCACGCAGAGAATTGTACGTAATGTATTGTTGTTGTGTTGTGACGGCCCAATAAATAAGTTGTACATATTATTTCAAGTTAAGAAAAGCATTTGATATTTCGTGTTATGTACTGGCGTTATCATTTCGAAAAAAAGAGAGAGGGAGTACTTGCAGGAAGCATGGAGTATGCAGTATTTTAGCCGAAACTCTCACTCCCCTCAGGGTTAATTTGTTTAATATCAGAAGAATTTAATTAAGAGGGATGGGCGCCAATGAGAGATGTACTCCCATAAATATTATGAAGGGCAGGTAAGCGAACGTGAAGGGGCGGTCTAGGGAGCCGGTTAGCATTATAATCTCAAGGGAGCTGCGGCCAGAACTACTTCTATCTATCTATCTATCTATCTATCTATCTATCTATCTATCTATCTATCTATCTATCTATCTATCTATCTATCTATCTATCTATCTGTCTGTCTGTCTGTCTGTCTGTCTGTCTGTCTGTCTGTCTGTCTGTCTGTCTGTCTGTCTGTCTGTCTGTCTGTCTGTCTGTCTGTCTGTCTGTCTGTCTGTCTATCTGTCTATCTGTCTGTCTATATATCTATATCTATCTAATCAGTGATACTAAGTTGAATTTATTCGCCACTAGGAGACAGTATGAAACAGTTACGATGAAACGAGTACAGAAAGCACAACACAAGTCATTGTCCCTTTACATGCTGTTGGCAACCTCATAGTCTCGGATCTTGCAACTAAATTAATTTATCTTTATATAACTTTAAAATGAATGCTGCGTCAAATCGTGCTCATCGCTTTGCTTAATGATTTGTAATACTCTAAGTTAAACTTGAAACTTTAGTACAGTAATTCAGTAGCAAAAAGCAACACACGTCTGCTCTGGTCCAAAGGGTGATGCCAAATGATCTACTGCTTCGAGAAACTTGAGGAAACAAAGCTGAAAGTAACAACGCGCTGATTTTCAGAAATACTTACGCGTATTTCTCTCAAGTGAGACTCATCTCGAAGCTTCCAATGAATCATCGCGTTGGAGCGCAAGACATAGCAATACGAAATTATGAAAGTCAT